GTGTGTGTGTGTGTGTGTGTGTGGTGTGTGTGTGTGTGGTGTGTGTGTGTGTGTGTGTGTGTGTTGCCTCTTTCCAACTGAGCACAGCTCTATTCTGGTTTTTCTTTTCCTTCCTTCCTTCCTTCTTTCTTTCTTTCTTTCCAGTCCTGAGGCTTTGAACTCAGGGCTTGGGCACTGTCTTTGAGATTATTTTGCTCAAGGCTAGCACTCCACCACTTGAGTCACAGCACCACTTCTGTTTTTTTTCTGTTTATATGGTGCTGAGGAATCAAACCCAGGGCTTCATGCATGCTAGGAAAGCACTCTACCACTAAGCCACATTCCCAGCCCCCATTCTGGTTTTTCTAATGGTTCTTGTGTACTTTCCAGGCTGGCTTTGAACTGCAATTCTCAGATCTCAACCTCCTGAGTAGCTAGGATGACAGGTGTGAGCCAAGCAAACATCTATTTTAATGTGAACAGAACACTTTAAGAGCATCAGTATCTTAACAGCTGCCTTCTAGAACTCCCATCACTGACCCCTTCTGAGTCCTCTAAGTTAACAGGTAAGCCTGTTTATAATACTGAAGGATGGGGAACATAGGTAGATGGATGGCTGCCACATAGCTGCACAGACTGGAAAGCAGGGGACGGGTACTCGGGGGAATCAAGGCAGTGGAACAGAGGCGCCTTAGGCCTTGTGTCAGGCTGGACACAGGAGAACCAGAGGTGTACAGCCCAGATTTGTTCTCTAGAGACTAAGCCACCGAGCCTTGGGCCATCCCCAAGTCACAGCCAGAAGAGGAGGTTGAAGTGACAAGTCCCTGCACCCACTGTCCCCCACCCCTGTTCTAGAGGGGATGAAGCTGGGAGAGGTGGTTATTGGGAAAAGATTTGTGGGGGCTCACAGATCTCAAATGAAAACCTCAAGTGATGTTAAACTCACATTTAGCATCCAGAGGAAGTACCTCATCTTCATTGTGAGCTCGTAGGGCTGAGCTCTGCTGGGTCTGCAGTAAGCCATGTAAATCTCCCAGCACTTATCGATGTAATTCATGGAGTACAGCGTCCGCTGTTGCTCACTGAATAAGTTTCCTGAAGATAGAGTAGCAAGGAGATGATTTAGAATTAGGCTTGAAAAATAGGACCTTGACTATGATCCCTCTTCCTCTACTTACCTCTTACCTGGCAGGCGTTGGGGCGAATGTTCTCAGCCATCAGTTTGGTAAAGCACAGAGACAGCAATGGGCTTCTGTTTCTGTGACAGAAAATAGTGTAATGACTGCTTCCTCTGGAGGCCGAGGGTCACCCCACTTCCAAAGTGTGGGCCCCACTGAGTGACATCCAGTGGTGGATGGAAAGGGACTTGTGGGGCTGCCTGACCTCCTTGATCTTGAGTGGTAGAACATCATGAGCCATGTAGGAAGGGTAGCCAAGGGACAATTGATGAAAAAACACTCACTAACTTGTTGGTTTGTGCTGGGGAGGGAACTTGGGGCCTGGCAATGCCAGCCTTTGGTTGTCTCTAGATGTTTTATGTAGCCCAAGAGGGCCTCCTACCTCCACTGGGATTACAGGTGTGTGCTACTGGGCCCTGTTCTTCTCCCTCTGTCTCTCTCCCTCCTCCCCCCCCCCCCGTGTGTATGTGTGTGTGTGTGTGTGTGTGTGTGTGTGTGTGTGTCCGAGTGTGCTCGCCAGTCCTGAGACTTAAACTTGGGGCCTGAGTGCTCTCCTTTAGATTTTTTTGCTAAGGCTACCACTCTACCACTTGAGCCAGGGCTATACTTCTGGTTTTTTGAGTGGTTTATTAGAGATAATAGTCTCATAGACTTTCCTGCTTTGGCTGGCTTTGAAACACAATCTAACAGATCTCAGCCTCCTAAGTATCTGGGATTACAGGTATGAGCCACTGACACCCAGTCCTAGTATTTTTGTGTGTGTGTGTCAAGGTCATGAAAGATAAAGTATCAGAAATTATCAAAGATTGAAAGAATAGAGAAGACCTGATAGTAAAATGGAATGTGGGATCTGGGATTCCATCCTAAACAGAAGCAGGTCAGGGTAGGGCGTCTGGGGAAACCCTAATACAGGCTATTGTTAAAATCATTATGGCTATGTAAGATATCGATTTCCATGCAACATACAATTTCCATGTTACACAAGGATTCTTATCTACTTACAGCAATACTTCCGAAAATCCAAAATTAGTTTAAAATAAGGAGGCTTTTTTTTTTTTTTTTGGTGGTCATGGGGCTTGAACTCTAGGCCTGGGCACTGTCCCCTCAGCTCTTCAGCTCAAGGCAAGCACTCTACCACTTGAGCCCCAGCCCCACTTCTGGTTTTCTGAGTGGTTTACTTGGAGATAAGTCTCATGGACTTTCCTGCCCGGGCTGGCTTTGAACCACGATCCTTAGATCTCAGCCTCCTGAGTAGCTAGGATTACACACCAGTGCCCAACTAAAAAAAAATTTTTTTTTAATCCCAGGTCAAGGGCTTGACTTCAGTGCCCATGCTCTCACTCAGTTTTCTTGTTTACTTGGCTGGTGCACTAATGGTGGAGTCATGTGTCCAGCCTGGCTTCTTGCTAGTTCATTGGAGATGGAGTCTTTTGGACTTTTCTGCCCAGGCTGGCTTTGAACCAAGATCCTTAAGATTTCAACTTGAGTAATTAAGATTACAGGCCTGAGAAACCAGCACCCAGCCTTTAAAAAAAGTGTTTTTTGAATTAATGAATGATAGCACATTTGCCTTAAGACAGGAAACTGTGGCCATTCCTAAATAAAGCCGTCTCAGTACTGAATGACTTGGCTATGAGCATTTTCAGTCTTGCCTCATCCCGCCCCCTTTGTGGTTGGGTCTAGCTCCCAGAGACTCTTCTATGGGGTGTGGGGATGATGGATGGCCCTTGGAGAATAGAGGATAACTGCAGTGAGCAAGTCCCAGCCACAGCTCAGAGGAGGATACAAAGAGGCACTTACTGGTATTCTTTGTGGTGAATGTGGTAAGCCAGCTGCAGGAGGTAACTCAAAAAGTTTCTCAGAAGAATTGTTCGGAAGGGAGAGTGAATCTCTTCTACAGGGATGCTGTTATTGGCTGCAAGGAGCAAAGGTGGCGAGGATAGTAAGCATCCCAAGGTTGTATTTCCTTGGCAACACTGAACACGCGTGAGCAACCGGAACTAACACCATCCCAGGAGCTCAGGCTGGGACTGGGTCTTCTTTTTCTTTTATACTTTTTACTTTTTGGAAGTACTGGGTTGGAACTCAGGGCTTTGAAAGCACTCTATCACTGAGCCACACCACTCTGGGATTTTGAAACAAGATCTCGCCGTGTAGCTCAGGCTGGCCTTGAACTCTCAGTCCTCCTGCGTCAGCCTCCTGAGTGCTGGGGTTACAGTAGGAACCACCTGGTCTGCCTCATTAGCTTACCTAACAAGATTGCATGTCCTCATTTTTTCAAAGCAACAGTTTGCTTAATAGTAATTCTCAGAAGATTTTTTTTAAGTTTTGTTGTTGGTTTTATTTTTGTTGTTGTTTTGTTTTAATGTGCCAGTCCTTGGGCTTGAACTCAGGGTTTGTGCGCTGTCCCTGAGCTGTTTTGCTCAAAACTAGTACTCTACCACTTTGAGCCACAGCTCCACTTCTAGTTTTCTAGTGGTTAATTTGAGGTAAGAGTCTCACAGACTTTCTTACCCAGGCTGGCTTCAAACCTCGATCCTCAGATCTCAGCCTCTTGAGTAGCTAGGATTATAGGCGTGAGCTACCAGGCTCCTAGCTCCCTGAGGTTTTTTTTGCTTAAAGGCTAGCACTCTACTGGCTTGAACCACAGCTCCATTTCCACCTTTTCATTAGCTTACTGAAATAAGAGTCTCATTCAGATCTCAGCCTCCTGAGTAGCTAAGGTTACTTAGGCCTGACCTGAGTTGGTGCCTTATAAGTAGAGAATTGGAGATCAGTTAGTTCTGTTTCCCAGAATTCAGCTTCAAGGCTGTTGACTTTATCACTTTCTAATCTGAAATCCAGTCTATCCTATGGCCCTCCCTGGGCCTTCCGGCTTTCTCCTGACAATCAGTGCTACTCCTTACAGAGCGAAGGAGGCCGACTTTGCTGTGAGTGGCTAAGGCTCTGTGTTCCTGACCAACTAGGTCTCCATCATCTCTGTGGTGCAGGACAAAAGCTGCCCCTGGCACAGAGCAGGGAGCATAGGCCTGCACGCACTTCTGCTGCTCTCCTCCCATCCTCCCCCCTCCCTTTACCTTCTGGGCACAGTGTGGCAGGTGGTACAATGGGAGACTGGCAAGGCAGCAGCCTAGGAGACTCACTGCTTAAGACCCTGTCCATCTCGGCAATTGTGATATTGTGGTGATGGAACTTGCAGTCCTTTAGAAATCTCCAGAAGCGGAGCTGTGTCATCAGGAAGGTGTTATCCAGAGAGTGGTCACACCCCAGACTGCTGTAGAAGTAATAGATTCTTCTTAACTCTGTAATGTTTCTTAAGATGGCGCATTCCACCTGGAAAGAAGCGACCAGTGCAACTCTCAGTTCTAAAAGACATTCTCCCCCGTCCTTCCATGGGCACAGGCTCAGCCCAGGAGGAACCTGCCCCATGGAGGAGCTTCTGTGGCTGCCATGAGAGGGAGCCTGGCAGGAAGACATATGGAGTCAGGCCACTTCCAACTCTAAAGCAATCTCATAATGAAAAGTAAAAAACTGTAACATGCCCACATTATAAAATATTCCACAGTCATCATAAATGTCTAGTGGACTTCTCAAGGGTAGAATTACAACATTCTTTCAGTTTGGGTCATGTAATTGAATTCTTTTTTGTTGTTGTTGTTGTTGTTGGCCACAGGGCTTGAACTCTGGGCCTGGGCGCTGTCCCTCAGCTCTTCAGCTCAAGGCTAACACTCTACCACTTGAGCCACAGTGCCACTTCTGGCCTTTTCTGCTTATGTGGTGCTGAGGAATAGAACCCAGGGCCTCATGCATGCAAGGCAAGCACTCTACCACTGAGCCACCTTCCCAGCCCTGTAGTTGAATTCTTTAAAGCCTCTATAATTATACTTTGAAATATACATTATTTTTTTTGGGTCAGTCATGGGGCTTGAACTCTGGGCCTGGACACTGTACCTGAGCTCTTTTGCTCAGGACTAGTGTGCTTGAGCACCACTTAGAGCCACAGTGCTATTTCCTGTTTTCTTATCTCATTAGAGATAAGAGTTTCACAGAGTTTCCTGCCTGGTCTGGCCTTGAATAGTGATCCTCAGATCTCAGCCTCCTGAGTAGCTAGGATGACAGGCATGAGCCATCAGTGCCTGATGAAATATAGAACTTTTAATACCTACATGTCCTGACATGGAACTATAAATGAATGCTCTGTATGATATTTATATAAGAACTGTAAGAAAGCCAGATGGATGGCTATACTTATTAATCCTAACTATCCTGGAGGCTGAGATCTGAGGATCCTGATTCAAAGCCAGCCTGGGCAGGAAGGTCTGAGAGACTCTTATCGCCAATGAACCACCAAAAGGCTGGAAGTGGTGCTGTGGCTCAAGTGATAGAACATTAGCCCGAAACAAAATCAGCTCTGGGACAGTGCCCAGGGCCTGAATTCAAGCCCCAGGACTGGCACAAAAACAAAAACCATTATAGGGAGATGGAGAGAGAGGAGAATAATGTAATGTGACCTTTTCTTGGTGAGTCTAATATAGATATGTTATTAGTTTATTCATATAAAAACTATTATCAGAGAATCCTGATTGGCTGTCACTAAATTCTTTGTGAAAATAGCATCCATGGGGCTGGGAAGGTGGCTCAGTAGTAGAACGTTTGCCTTGCATGCCTGAGGCCCTGGGTTTGATTCCTCAGCACCACATAAGCAAAGAGAAATAAAGCTCGAAGTGGTGCTGTGGCTCAAGTGGTCGAGTGCTAGCCTTGAGCTGAAGAGCTGAGGGACAGCGCCCAGGCCCAGAGTTCAGGCCCCATGACCGGACCCAGCATCCCTGAGTTGATAACCCCAGTCTAAGTACACACAGTAAAAAACCTAGAAAAACTGCCACAAAGTTTCTACCTGTGAGGCATCTCCTTTTCCTATGTGTTTTTACATGGTAGGCGTTCAAAGAGGGCCACATACCAGGGGGGCAGTGGGGACAATGCTGCTGTGCTGGGACCAGAAATGGGGTAGACAGTCTCACAACCAGCAGGGCAAAGTGCTTCTCAGCCCAGAGGGTTGAGGTGCCCACTGCACTCCATAGCCAGCTCCTGACAGTTGTCCCCACGAGGCCCTACAACCCCACTGAGTTTTGGGGGGCTGTGAATAGAGAGAGGGTTGGGTGCTCACTCTGGGGTCCTACCAGAGCATAGCAGTCCATATCTGCAGAGGACTGCAGCCTCTGGCGTGCTGAAATGCCTGGAGCTGTCTGTCTGTCTGTCTGTCTCTGTCTGTCTGTTTAGGATGCCCGAGGTGGCATGTTGGAAGGTCGGTGGGCAGAGAAGACAATGCAAGACAGCAATCCTGGCTGCTTTCCCAAGCCTGTGGGCACTCTGTCAGTGTGTATGTGCCTGTGATGGACATGGGAAACTCTAGAAGGTTCTCACCTGGAGCTTCTCTTCGGCCTGCACCTCCTTAGGGTACATATTCAATAACCAAGAGAGCTCCAACTCGACGGCCGATCCTAATATGGAAGGACCGTCTCTGTCGATCAGGTTTTTGGTCATCTCCAGCATGCGGGGACAGTCCTGGCGGGTGGCGGATGGAGACATGTGTCCAGCCTCCTTGCAGTTTCCTGTGGTAGAGGCGGCACCCCACACCTTGCTGACCGGGGCCTTGCTAGAGGAGGGCTCCAGGTAAGGTACAAATTCAGCATCAAAATCTGGAAGGTGTGTGATGTGGTCATTGGAAAACAAGCCTTCAAACACATGGCCGTTCTTGAGAGTCAGTTTGCCCTGCAGGTGAAGAAAACACTGTTGCTGTTGGGGGAAGTTCCCCTGGATCAACATTGGTAAATGGACCTTTCTTTCTTCTTTCTTGCCTTCCTTCCTTCCTTCCTTTCTTTCTTTTCTTTTGTCTGTAAGTCATGGGACTTGAACTCAGGGCCTGGGTGCTGTCCCTGAGCCTCTCTGTGCTCAAGGCTAGTGCTCTTGAGCCACAGCACCATTTCTGGGTTTTGAGAGATTTATTGGCGATCAGAGTCTCATGGGAACTTTTCTGACCCAGCTAGCTTTGAACTGTGATCTTCCAAGATCCTCAGATCTCGGTTTCCTGAGTAGCTAGAATTACAGGTGTGAGCCACCAGCACCTGGCCACTTCTGGTTTTTTTAGGTGTTTACCTGGAGAGAAGAATCTCATTTCCTTCCCTGCCCAGCCTGGCTTTGAACCCTGATCCTCTTAGCCTCCTGAGTAGCTAGGATTACAAGCAGGAGCCATTAGCACTCGGCGCTTTTATTGCTTTCTTGAGTTCAGAGCTCTTAGTCCACAGAGAATGAAGCACCCAAATTCCCTCTCCATTTCCACCTCTGCCTCTTCCTCTCATTTCTACCCTGTCTGTGTCTTCCTCACCATCTCAGCCCAACCAGAAGCATTCCTGGCTCACAGACCAGGCCTCAGCTTCATCAGGTGACCACCAGGGCACACAACTGGGTAAAGCCAGCAGGTACTGCTTCAGAGGGCTCTGGACCCACGTTGTCCCTGTGACATGGAATTCATTTGCAGAGAAAGAGTTCCCTCTTTTCTACTTAGTGGGGTATGCGGATGTGAAGTCTGCAGGGAGTGCCAGCAGCCACCTTGCAACCCTGGGAAAGGGGCAACCCCAGAGAGAAGCTGTCATGGCTAGATGGGAGAAAAGTCTGCCATCACTGAGTCACTGACTCCAACCAACCCTGAAGCCCCTATGGTTTTTATTACATACACCCTATTAAGACCAACTGTCAGGGCTGGGAATGTGGTTCAGTGGTAGAGGGCTTGCCTAGCATGTATGAAGCCCTGGGTTTGATTCTTCAGTATGACATAAGCAGAAAAAAAACAGAAGTGGTACTGTGGCTCAAGTGGTAGAATGCTAGCCTTGAGCAAAAGAAGCTCAAGGACAGTGCCCAGGCCCTGAGTTCAAAGCCACAGGACTGGCAAAAAAACAAACAAACAAAAAACCAGCTGTCTGAATCTGGGCATTGGTGGCTCAGGCCTGTAATCCTTTTTTTTTTTTTTTTTGTCAGTTGTGGGGCTTGAACTCTGAGCCTGGGCACTGTCCCTCAGCTCTTCAGCTCAAGGCAAGCACTCTACCACTTGAGCTACAGCGCCACTTCCAGTTTTCTAGTGGTTTATTGGAGATAGGAGTCTCATGGTCTTTGGTCTTTCCTGCCCAGGCTGGCTTTGAACCGAGATCCTCAGATCTCAGCCTCCTGAGTAGCTAGGATTACAGGCGTGAGCCACCGGTGCTCGACTAAGGCCTGTAATCCTAGCTACTCAAGAGGCTGAGATCTGAGGATCATAGTTCAAAGCCAGCCTAGGCAGCAAAGTCCATAAGTCTCATCTCCAATTAACACCAGAATACCAGAAGTAGTGCTGTGGGTCAAAATGGTAGAATGTTAGCCTACCACTCAGGTAAGACAGTACCCAAGCCCTGAGTTCAAGCCCCACAAACAACAATAACAACAACAACAACTAAAGACTGTCCGTCTTAATATGACCAATCCCTAACCCCAACACACACAGAACTTATCAAATAACTTTGAAAGATCTAGGAAATAGACAGACAGTGGGTTAGGAATGTGTTATCTGTGTGGTGAGTCTGCAGTGTTGGTCATGCGCTGCACAGACCGCACTCACCGCACCATGCTTCTTATTACAAATCCACTCGCCCTCAAAAATGGCTCCACTGGCATAGTAAAACTTCCCCTGTCCATGGCGACACCCGTCCACGAACTCCCCGATGTACTCGTTCCTCATGGTGTACTGGGAGTTGGGGATTCTCTTTTGAAACCATGTGTATTTTCCAAAGCCATTCTATAAAGAAAGCACACTGCCATCAGAAAGGCACAAAATACTTCCTCCTCTTCTCAGAATCCATGTAAAACAGAGGGCAAAGGCATGAATGTTTACTAACCAGTCTGTTGACTGGAAGCAAATTATTTAAATCTTTTAGGTCCTGCGGCTATTGAAGGGAAACAGCACCTGCCCTACAGGTTGCCTGTAAAAGAGCAAAGACAGGCCGGGTGCTGGTGGCTCACACCTGTCATCCTAGCTACTCAGGAGGCTGAGATCTGAGGATTGAGGTTCAAAGCCAGCTCAAACAGAAAAGTCCATGAGATTCTTATCTCCAGTTAGCCACTGAAAAGCCAGAAGTAGAACTGTGGCTCAAGTGGTTGAGTGCCAGCCTTGAGCAAAAAAATCTCAATGAGTACACAAGGCTCTAAGTTCAAGTCTTAGTACCAACACGTACGCGTGTGTGTGCACACACGCACACAACACACACATATGCACACACATATACATACATACACACAGTCAAAGAATGTAAAGAGCCTAGATGTTATGTTGATAATTACTATCAGAAGCCAAACAAGCATCTGCTGGATGAGCAAACAAAATGAAGTCAGTATGTGTGGTAGAATATTATTCAGCCCTAAAAAGAAAAGGAATTCTGACATGCACTGTAACATTGATGACCCTGAGGACATTAAGCTCAGTGACAGGAACCGACATCTGAAGGACATGTGCTTTGTGACTCCACACAGCGAAGCACAGAGCACCTGGTAGCCACACAAGGCCCTGGGGTGCATCCCCAGCACTGAAATAGAAAAGAAAAGGAAAAAACTCAATCAAGTTTCAATAACATCAATAAGATGTCCATTTTCACTAATCTAGAAAAGGAAGAGCAAATTAAAACCAACCCATGCAACCCAGAAAGTAATAACAAAGAGCCAATGGCAATTACACTGGAATCTGGAACACATCAGAGAAAGTGTGAATACCCCTTTTCCCCCTTTTTGGCTGAAGCAGGAGCGGCCAAAATGAAGTTCAATCTCTTTGTCACTTCTGACTGAAGCAAGAACCGGAAAAGGCATTTCAATGAACCTTCCCACATTCGCAGGAAGATTATGTCTTCCCCTCTTACCAAAGAGCTGAGACAAAAGTACAATGTGCGGTCTATGCCCATCCGGAAGAATGATGAGGGGCAGGTTGTGCAAGGACACTATAAAGGCCAGCAGATTGGCAAAATGGTCCAGGTTTACAGAAAGAAGTATGTCATCTACATTGAACGAGGACAGCAGGAAAAGGCCAATGGCACCACTGTCCATGTGGGCATTCACCCCAGCAAGGTGGTAATCACCAGGCTGAAACTGGACAAAGACTGCAAAAAGATCCTGGAATGGAAAGCCAAATCCCGTCTAGTAGGAAAGGAAAAGGGCAAATACAAGGAAGAAACAATTGAGAAGATGCAGGAGTAAAATAATCTTATATACAACGTTTGATTTAAAAAAAACAAACTTCTTAAATGAATATCGTTTGTTGTAAGAAAAAAAAAAAAAGAAAGTGTGAATGCCCACAGCTGGCTTTGCGGCACATCATGGAATCACTACAGCTCTATGAAGCAAGGCTTAAGGAGTGGAAACACAAACTGTTTGTGTTGGGAGAGAGAGAGGGAACATGGCCTAGAGATTCAAGAGATACCAAGAGGACAGACAGCGGAGGGCGATGGGGGGAATGCTGCGAACAACTCTGCTGATAAATTCAATAGGAAGTGGAGTCATTCCATAGATAGCTCAAGCTTCCAACGCTCGCCCAGGAAATACCTAATGGTGCAGCATCTGCCAACCAGAGCGGCCATGTCAGTGAGCCTGGCGGAGCCTACCTGCACCCCCCTGTCCCAGTGGCCCATGTACTCCTCGTTGGTGGTCAGCCATCGCATCCTTCCCTCCCCATGCCGAAGGTTGTCATCCCATTGGCCTTCATAGATGTTTCCAGATTTGTAACTGGAACAAAAGAAACAATGAGGTGTGACATTGTACATACAATATGCCTTTGAAGCTTAATCAGGAGGCTGAGATCTGAGGCTCACAGTTCAAAGCCAGCCCAGGCAGGAAAGTCCATGAGACTCTTATCTCCAATTAACCACTAGAAAACCAGAAATGGCGCTGTGGCTCAAGTGGTAGAGCACTAGCCTTGAGCTGAAGAGCTGAGGGACAGCACCCAGGCCCAGAGTTCATGCCGACAACTGACAAAAAAAAAAATCTTGACTTCCTGGGTGCTGGTGACTCATGCTTGTAATCCTAGCTACTTAGGAGGCTGAGATCTAAGGATCCTGGTTCAAAGCTAGCCCAGGCAGAAAAGTTCCCATGAGATTCTTATCTCCAATTAACTACTCAAAAACCAGAAAAGTAGTGCTATAGATCAAAGTGGTACAGCACTAGCCTTGAACAAAAGAGCTCAGGACAGCAGCGCCCAGGCCCTGAGTTCAAGTTCCACAACTGACAAAATATAAATAAAATAAAATAAAATGGTGCTCTAGTTTCTCTGTACAGTGGAGATGATATAGGAGTGGAGATTTCCTCAGTGGAGATTACATAGGAGTGATTTAAACATCCCACCCTGTTTAGACAGGAAATGTGGCCCTTCGGCCCCCACCCCTATTGTAGCCCAGCCCCGGCCACACCTACCGTCTGATTCCCCAGCCCTTCTTCACATTGTATACCCAGTCTCCCTCATACCATGAGGTGCCCTCTTGATTGTAATAAACGGTGCCCTGAAACAAATTATGTCATTAGAAACAAATCAAGACTCATAATACAGATGTGCTAAAGGTAAAGATAAGAACAAAACAACTGATGGCTTGGGGAATCACGCATGAAGAAGTCAATGTCACAGTTCCATGGGCTATGTGACCCACTCCATTCCAATGAAGAAAAAGAATGCAAGGGTAGAAAAGAGGGTTGCAAACCAATTACTCCTTTTTCACTCAGACCTTTGATTACTGAGGCGAAAATCCCTGATAGAGAAAGTGAAGGAGGAAGGGCTTGCTTGGGCTCAGGGTTTTAGACATTGAGGAGCTCAGTGGGGTTCAGGGAGGAGGGAGATCATCATGGGACAGAAGAATGAGGCAGAGGCCGCTCACCTCATGGTGGACAGTAAGCAGAAGAGGCTCCCAAGGACAGGCTCCCAGCTTCTCTCCTAGGCCCCACCTCCTAAGGTTTTTAGCATCTCCCCAAACAGCACCACCAGCTGGGGCTGGAGGGACATTTCACATTTAAACTTAATACTCCTTAATAACAAGGTGCTGCATTCAGGCACAGAATGAAGGCGTTCATTGCATTCAACTCAATCATCAGCCCAGAGCTGGTGGCTCATGCCTGGAATCCTAGCTATTTGGGAGGCTGAGATCTGAGGATTGAGGTTTGAAGTCAGCCTTGGCAGAAAAGTCTGTGACACTCTTATCTCCAATTAGCCATCAGAAAACCAGAAGGGGTGCTGTGACTCAAGTGGTAGAGCACTGGCCTTGAGCTGAAGAGCTGAGGGATAGTGCCCAGGGGTGCTGTGGCTTCAAGTGCTAGCCTTGAGCAAAAGAGCGCAGGGATAGTGCCTGGGCCTTCAGTTCAAGCCTCATGACTGGTAAAAAAAAAAAAAAAAAAAGGAAAAAAAATCTCTAAAAATGGCTCCTGTATTTTATCATCCTAGACAGAAGCACAAGAGTCGTGGTACAAATGGCACCCTTGATTAGAAGTGGGCACACCCTCCATTGCTGGTGTGTGAAGTGATGAAAATTGGCCACTTGAGGTCTGAGGACCAGTCCTGGCACATACACCCACAGCAGCACTGTTCCTGATAATCAAAAGGTGGAAACAGCCCAAATAATGTTCATCAACAGATGAGCATGCTGAAAATATGGCAAATGCTTACAAGGGAATGGTACTTGGCTATAAAAAGGAATGGAGTACTGATTCATGGTAAAACACAAATGAACCTCAAAAAAACATGGTGCAAAGTGAGAGCAACCAGAATAAGGTCTCATCACATAGGATTCCTGTAGCTGAAGGCAGAGAGCAACATGGAGAAGAAGGGGTAGAAAGGAACTGCCTACTGAGAGTAGGGTTTTAAATAAGGTGCTGACAAGGAATCAGAGAGAGGTAATACTTGTATGACAGCATGCATGGACTTAATACTACACAGTCATATGCTGTAAACATAATTTGATCACACCGATAATACCAGCCCTTGGGAGGCTGAGGCAGGAGGATCCAAGGCAAAAGCTAGGCAAAAGCAAGAGACCCTGTGGCAAACAAACTAAAGCAACTGGATCTAGGAAATAGGCTCCGTAGTAGGATGCTTGCCTAGCATGTGTGTAAGGCCTTGGGTTCAATCTCAGCCCTGCAACAAAAAAATCTTTCACTAGAGCCTAAAGGGGGAAGGTGATTGGCTCAAGTATACAGTGCTTACCAGTTTATGTACAAGGCCCTGAGTTCAAGTCCCCAGCACTGCTAACGACATTAATCAATTGTACAGCTCTGTGTGTGTGTGTATGTGTGTGTGTGTGCGTATATTCCCTGGTACTTGGTGCCCGCCATGTTTGTGTGTTCTGTCTTCCTGCTTGCCATGTGTGTGCTGTTGGGCTCTACGCCCCCTGCCCCCCACCCCCACGCTCCTCATGTACCTTGCCATGCTTCTTGCCGTCACACCAGTAGCCCATGTAGGACACAGGCTTCTTGCTGAACTTGAAGATGCCGAATCCATTCCTGATGCCGTTGATCACCTCGCCTTCATATGTGCTGCCATCCAGCCACGTATACGTGCCATGGTTCATTGGGATGTTTTTCACAAAGTCCCCCTGAGGAAGGGCAGCCATCAGTGAGGCAGCTGGACAAGCCCTTCCCTCCCTCCCTCCCTCCCTCCCTTCCTCCCTCCCTCCTTCCCTCCCTTCCTCTGTCTTTCCTTTCTTCCTTTCTCCCAATCCTTCCACTGGCTGATCAAAGTGTCAGGAAGTTGTGTGCACTCAAAGACCCAAATAAGCAAGCAGGTGCTACCAAAGCTGTGGCTGCCAACCTCTGCCTTGGGAGGCCAGGACGATGGCTATACCCTCTAGCAGGTATGCAGGACCAGCCACAGTGTGACCCCACACATACACACACATGTCATGGAACCCTTTTTTCCCTGTGGGCATCATCGCCATGTTCTGCAGACATGGCGGCTGGCAGCTACCTCACAGGTGCTTTCTAGAGATCGGCTCTGGGCCGATGACATGGCCAGGGTCCCCATGGGCTCTCTTCCACTGGAGTGTGTGTGTGTGTGTGTGTGTGTGTGTGTACACTCATGCTCATGGGGGATTGAACCCAGGGCCACACACATACCAAGTGTGTGCTCTACCACAGATTCCAGGAATCTGAGCTAACTGCCAGTTGGCAGAGGAAAGAGGTATCTGGTCGCTGCCTCCACCTGCCTGAGGACACCTCTGTTTTTGTTGTTGCTTTGTGCCAGTCCTGGGGCTTGAACTCAGAGCCTGGGCACTATCTCTGAGCTTTTTTGCTCAAAGTTAGCACTCTACCACTTGAGCCACAGCTCCACTTCTGGATTTTTGGTGGTGAATTGGAGATAGACATCTCATGAACTTTCCTAGGCTGGCTTTGAACTGTGATTCTCAGGTCTCAGCCTCCTGAGTAGCTAGGATTACAGGTGTGAGCCACTGGCACCGGCTTGTGCAAATAGTATGTCTAGCAGTGACAATTACAGTTCACATTTATGAGCGGGGCTCATACCTGGTGGTTCAATGCCTGTAATCCTAGCTCCTCAGGAGCCTGAGATCTGAGGATCATGGTTTGAAGCCAACCCAGGCAGGAAAGTCTGTGAGATTCTTATCGCCAATTAACCACCAGAAAACTGGAGCCGTGGCACTACCCTTAAGCGAAAAAAGCTCAGAGACAGTGTCCAGGCTCTGAGTTCAAGCCCCATAATCACCACCACCACCAACAACAACAAAGTAATAATAATAATAATAAATGCCACATTTCCTGTTTAGAACTAGAATTCTTTCTATGCTTTACCTCATACTTCACTCCATCGGCCCAAATGTAAGTCCCTGGGCCATGCATGAGGCCTTCTGAAAACATTCCCTTCAAAACAAAACAACAGCAAACTCTTAGAACAAAGGGACAGACATTGTGTTTGTGTTTTGGTACTAGGGCTTGAACTCAGGGCCTACGCACTATTTCTTAGCTTTTGTGCTCAAGGCTGATGTTTTACCTCTTGAGCTTATACCTCCACCTTCATTTTTTTGGTGGTTAATTGGAGATAAGAATTGCAGGGACTTTCTTTTTTTTGGGGGGGGGGTCCGGTCATGGGGACTGAACTCTGGGCCTGGGCACTGTCCCTCAGCTCTTCAGCTCAAGGCGAGCACTCTACCACTTGAGCCACAGCGCCACTTCCGGCTTTTTTTTTTTTGCTTATGTGGTGCTGAGGAATCGAACCCAGGGCCACAGGCATGCAAGGCAAGCACTCTACCACTGAGACACCTTCCCAGCCCCTCACCAAATTTATTTTATAAAGGGTACCTGCATGTCTGAAAGTTTTGGTATTTTATAGGCGTCCTGAAACAAATCCCTCACAATGAGGAATGACTGTTTTCACTTTAGTAATGGCCCTGCGGTTGGGACAACAAAGAAAAATGGGAGGGGGTGGCAATAGCAGTCTAAAATGACTTTAGCCACATTTTTACCTTAAATATGTAAGCAGTTTGTAAACTATAAACTCAGTATGAAGTACTTCCAATTCCTTTTGAAGAATCAATGGACTTCCTGAAGCCTTGCAAGTCTAAAATTCGAGCCTAGGGCCTAGCTCTGCAGATTTTGGCACACAACTTACACGGTAGGTGGCGCCACCTTGAAACTCAGCAAAGCCTTCTCCCTCATACAGCCCTCGGATCTTCTCCCCTTGGTACCTATAAAGAACATCCAAACTAATGAGTGCTGTAAATAAGCCTAAGTGACAGAGAGTTGACATATGCAGTTAGAAAATAGGACCGGGCATCATGGTACCTGTCTGTAATCTTAGTTATACAGGAGGTAGAGACAGGGGGATCACAGTTCAAAGCCAACCAAGGCAAAACCTTAAAGACACAATCTCAAAAAACAAGCCATTTGTGGTAGTGCACATCTTTAATCCCCAGCTAGGTGGGAGGCAGAGGAAGATCATTGTCTAAGGCTAGAGCTGGGCAAAAAGTGGAGACTCTGCTGGGCAGTTATAATTCTAACTGCTCAGGAAGCTTAGATCTGATCTGTGAATGTCCAGTAAGAAGTTGAAAATATAATTATGAACTGGGCACCGGTGGCTCACACCTGTAATCCTAGCTACTCAGGAGGCTGAGATCTAAGGATGGCAGTTCAGTCAGTCCAGGCAGAAAAAGTTGGAGAGACTCTTATCTTCAATTAACCATAAAATGCTGGAAGTGAGCCGGGCGCTGGTGGCTCACGCCTGTAATCCTAGCTACTCAGGAGGCTGAGATCTGAGGATCGCGGTTCAAAGCCAGCCCGGGCAGGAGAGACCGTGAG